GATCGGAGAGGAGGCCGCAGACTTCAACCCAACCATAGGAAGGTCGTCCAGCTCTGGGGTCTAAGGAGTTTGCCGTCACCCCACGAGTCTCAGCTCCTGTCTGCAAGGCCGCCCTGCGGCACCGCGCTGCAGACTGCTCTGGCTCGCTCATGGCAGCGCAAGGAGGCTACGTCCACCCTGCTGACAGGGGCACCTCTCCAACTGGCTGGCTTTGGCAGCGGACCTGGTCTCCCAGTACAGGACGTTCAGCGCTACACACATCCAAACCATCCAGCCAGGAGCAGAGCGCGATGGGCGAGGACTCTGGACAGAACTGCTCGGGCAGCACCATGAACGGTGACCGCAAGCACCGGCAACCCTGCTTACAGGGCGGCTGCGCTGCGCAAGACCGCCAACCAGATCTACGGCCTTTAGAAACAAGGTGGTGGTGACACACGCCTTGCTTACAGGGTTGCCCACCTGCCACCTGACTGCTGCACAAGTGCAACACCATCAAGGGCAGAGACACATTACCGGGTCGCTCAATGGAGGCTCGCCCAAAGGCTCGCGTGCCCAAAATTTGGCCAATACATGACCGAGACCTAAAGGCAGGGAGGTCACTCTGTCCAGAGTCCCTTTCCTTTGCGTCTCGCTTTGCTGGCTTTTGGCCTCTCGTGGTTTGCCCGCTGCTTGTCCTTCTGGCAGCTGCAAGAAGGAAAAAGAAGAGAAATAACAACCCACCCCAGGAAAAATACGGGGAGACAGCCTGGGTGTGAGGCATGGAGCCAGGGACCGAGACAGAAATTTATAACACTGTTTGGTCCTTCCCTGTAAGCCCTGCTGATCTGTCTTCTGCTCGACAGAGGGGTGAGCATGCCCTCTCCTTGTTCAGCTTCCCAAGACTGGGGCAGTTGGACATGGCAAGCCATGGGCTACAGGCCCAACTCACACCATGGCACAACAGATGGCACCTGGGATCCTACTGACAGGATGGTGCCCCTCCCAAGCACCGGCTTCCGTGGCAGAAAGCCAGCCTCGCAAGGGTTGCTCAGGTGGCGCGGTTCAAGAAAGCAAGCCGCCCCACACCTGGAGGACAACGGGCAGAAACTACCACTTTCCTGACAGGGAACTCAAACCTCTCGAAGGACCAAAAAAAGGTTGAAAACACCCGCGCTCAAGCGGGGGATGTAATGAAACCCCGGATAACAGCAGCGAGTGGGGGAGCCAGGCTCTTCCCCAAGCGACAGGAGGCTCACAATGCCCGCTGTCCTAAAGAGCTTGCTGCCTTGTAAGAAGAAGGGGGACAGGACATCCCTCTGGCTTGCAGGACCCTCAGGACTCCACCGAAACCTGACCCATGCACGACAACATCAGGAGCTAAGGCATGAACTTGCTTATAAGGAGGTGCCAACAGGCCAGCCTTCCAGGGTCTACAGCTTGACAATTGATCCCGAGATCTAGTTTGACAATGGACCCCCCCAAACGTCACCCTGGCAAACCTCCTGGACCTTTCTGGGCTGGCACGGTTTTCTGGTCTCCTCAGCCAACTCCTGCTTGTGTGTCTGGATCCTGCTTCTCCTCCCAGCGCAGACAGGCCCTGCACTCACTCACCACATGGGAAGACAAGTTTGTGGGCCGCAACTTCTCCCCGTCTTCCACCCGTACCCGAATCTGCTGCCAAGCCGTCCTCTGTCCATGGAAAAGGGAGAGGGCACACGTGCGGGCTCGGCTGCCGACATCCGGGGCAGCCAGGAGCAGAGCACGACGGCCCAGGACTCTGGACAGAACTGCTCGGGCGGCACCATGAACGGTGACCGCAAGCACTGCTATTGCCTTGTTCCCCCTGCCTTTCCCCAGACCCCTGCCACTGCTATTGCCTTGTCTCCCCTGCCTTTACTCCTGACCTCTGCTACTGCTATCACCTTGTCTCCACTGTCTTTTCTCCTGACCTCTGCCACTGCTATCGCCTTGTCTCCGCTATCGCCTGATATCCACTGCCTTTTCTCCTGATCTTTGCCACAGGTAATGCCTGATCTCCATTGCCTTTTCTCCTAAACTCTGCTATTGCTATCGCCTTGTGTCTACTGCCTTTTCCCCTGATCTCTGCCACTGCTATGGCCTTGTCTCCACTGCCTGGCATGGTGGCATCTGTGGTCAGCTGTGGATCCACCATTTGGTAACCACTGTCCCGTGTGGGGCCCTTTGTTCCCAGGGCATGGTGGCGTCTGTGGTCAGCTGTGGATCCACCATTTGGTAACCACTGTCCCGTGACAATAAAGGGTGCAGAATTTCTAAAAGCTTGTCACTTCGCCTAAAAAGTAGGTGCTGCTGCGCTGCCAAAGGCTTTGCACCACTATGTCTAATCATCCTCTTCAGTTCGAGCAATGTCGTTTCGAAGAGTAACTCCCCCTTGCTTGGACTTCTAGTTAAGCAAGGGGCTTGGGGGTAGGTCTAACGCCTGCGTTTTAGCTACTTACACTAAATATGTGTAGGTTAAACACTCTTAATGAAAAAAAGAGCTTACCTTAAAGGCTCCCCTTCCAAGACGGGGGCAGCAAACTGACTTGCCTGGCTCCTTCTCCCCTTGCTGCCCACAATCTGTTTGCAAACTGGCCTGCTTGCTCCCCCTGTTCACTGGAGCCCTGATCTATGTTTTGATCAAATCTAAAATGCCCTGTTCAGCTTTGGCAAGATGGAGTCCTTCTTTCAAAATAACATATTACCATTGCATTAGCATTTTCTGAGAGAAAAGTGGGGTTTCTTTGAGCAGCTGGGATGAAAAATAATGTGCTTGAAGGCAGTGCTCATAGGTTTAGAGCATGACTGTCTTTCTCTTGATCACAGGCCTCTGCCGGTTGGGTCAGAGGAGGACTTATTTTGGCAGTTAATAAGGCGTTGCAGGCATCACAATAGCTTCTGCACTGCATGGCTGTGCTCTCTAGGCCGGTGTACTGCACCATCGCCATGCCTCCTGTTTGCCACGCCGAACGTTTCTGCTTTCTTCAAAGCCGGTTTCTTTCTGAGCATTACAGAGCAAAGCAGTTCTGCCCGTCGCTGAAGAAAACCCAACCCAAGACCGAATGCACGGTGCAACTTGAAGCGTGGGGCTGCTTGCTCCTAATGGGTGTGTGAAAGGCCCGTCACTGAAGAAAACCCAGGGCAATCTTTACATGGTTTTTAAAGACATGTTTAATGTTGTCATTTCCCCCGCGGGAGCAGTGTGGACATCCCTGGGTGAAGGAAAAGTGTCCGTGTGGCCATACTGTCGGTGGGATTTTTCACAAGCCTGTGAAAGGATTTGCTGAAGTGGACACGTAAGTTGAAAATCACTAAAAAGAAAGCTATGAGGCAGCGTTAACCAAAACCTCGCACAGCTGCCTGGGAATGATTTACTGGGCTTGAAAATTGGACAGATGTTCTGAGTGGCATTCACTGGAAGTGATTTTTTTCCCTTCAAAATCACCACCCTGTTTTCCTCCCTTCTCACAGCCATGGGCCCCTTTAATTGGTAAATAGCGAAGGTGAAACCCTTAAAGAAGGGAGCTTTGGGAAAAGTCAAGCCGTCATCCAGTTGAAGGTAATTTTGGTTTCGTAATGCAGCTCCGAGGACAGAACGGAGAGAGGATACATCCTGGGGACTCCTGACTCCCGGAGCAGTGAAGCAGAGAGGGACCTGCCTGCTGCCTCAGTCTGCCTTGCAAGAGCGCTGCTCCATTCCTCCATGCTCCTGGGGACCTTTACAGACCGCCAGGTCAGCAAACGAGCATCCCTTGCAATGTCTGTCTGTCCCAGGTTACTAAACAGCGTTGTCTAACGTTAATTTGCTCTCACTTACGATGGCAACTTCGTCTGTGGAGGCTATATTTGCTTGTGGGGCAAATGATTCCCTAGAGATAATTATGGAAACACCTTATCTTCCAGTCCATTTTGAATTTAATGAAGAAGAAGCCAGAAGTTGCCAAAAAGTTCTTTCAGGACCACCTTGAAAAGGATATTGCATTCCTAGCAGAGTCGCTTGGCAGGAATAGAGATGATGCCACCATCACGGTCCACCTGTTTCTCAGCTACCTCCTTGAAGTCACAGCAGGTACAGAAATGCTTCGGTTTTGCTGCAGGTAGGACAGGGAATCTGCACTAGGCATGTTTTATCACAGACACATGCAAGGCTAGACGGTAAAGAACAATATGCACCGGTCATACTGCTAGCTTTGTGGGGGATGGAGACTGTTTTGTGCAGAAAGGTGACCCTAAACCAGATTTGGGGGTCCTAGAGAAAGTCACCTTGACGTGAGCTGTCAATGCGATGCTGAAGCTACAGGGATCCTAGACCCAAAAAAGTGGTTATTACCACAGCATCAGCCCCAGATCTGAGGTTGCTTGAGGTTAGGTGAGTAATCATAGTGGTTCTTCTCAGATTCAACACGTATAAATATATAAATGAATGGATTTCCAGCCAGTGAACGGGTTTTGCTCCTCCATCTTAGTCATAATGAATCCAGCGGCCTGGTAATATTTTTATTCTTTTCAGTCTGTGAACTGCAGTGCTTACCACAACTGCTTTGACACAAGATTAGGCAGTTTTTCATGCAAAATAACAAAAGTTGGAGTGTAATTTGATCTTTCTTGCAGGTAAAAAAATGATGGTTAAATCTATGCATAAAAAGGAAGACAGAATAGAGTGGGAAAGCTGTTTTAAAACTCTTACTCAATCGTTTTTTCAGGTATGTGAGCACCGGTTTTCTGTGCCTAAGAGAGATCAGAAATATCATATACATGGTTATTCAGTAAAGAATAATAGATGCAGATTTTTTTTTCTCCTTAAAAAAACCACCAGAAGCCACTAGTCCCAGCTGCCCTTCTCAAACGCCATTTACACCCAATGTTCCCGGTGACGCTTGGCTTCACATTGGTGGCAAGTATAAAAAAAAGAATATGGAAGCATTAACTATATTTAGTTTTGCTCATATTTCAGTCCCAAACCTGTCCGTTTTGTTAAGCATGGGAGTTTACAAATACGGAGTTGTAGCAAGTGGGGTGGTCGCAATGCCCACGGGTGGCCACTCAGCCCTTGCTGACCTGGGACCCTCTCCCCTCTGATCACTCACCGCATCTTGATGCTATTGACTCTTGATGAACGGAGACTGCCCCAATCCTGGTTTTACTCAAGACCACAGATGCCCAGGGTCATTGTTTTAGGGGGTAGTTTCATGGGCCCCTTCTTCCCCAGTACCCACTCCCAGGCCTCCCAGGTGATCTGCTAACACAACTCTCAGCCTGCTGGAGTGATCTGCCTGCAACTCTCTGTGCCTTGCCTACAACTCTCTGGCAGGCACTGGAGCTCCTGCAATGCACCCTAGTCCTCCTTGGGCACCGGACCCTCCTGGTCCCCCTCCGCAGGCACCTGACTGTGGTGTGCCTAAGTCCCCTGGGCACCAGACCCTCTTCGTTCCCCCCCAGGCACTAGGGATTCATGCACTTGCTCACTCTCTCTCTCGACCCTAGATCTGTCTCTTGCAAGGCCTGCTCTGGCCCCTCAGTTGGCTCAGGCACCTCCTTCCTATCCCTTCAGTCCCTTCCACAACCACCACATTGTACTTAGCAGCCCTCTTGGACACCAGGCCCCTGCCCCCTCTGCTCCCAGGCCTATCTAGTCCAAGGCCTGGCCAGCTTCCAGGCTCGGCGCTGCTTGCCCCAGCTCAGCAATTTGGCTCAGGAGCCCTGATCCCGGGAGCTCCTCTTACAGTGACACTCAGAGCTAGACTGCCCCAACCAGCTCATGCCCTGGTCACATATTGCTCAAGCCCCACCCCCTTTTGGTCAGGTGACTTCTCAATCAGTGCCCCGCTCTACCTGCTGACTAATCAGCTCCGCAGTAAAACGCCACTGTTTACACATGTGCGCATATTAGGGCACAGGAGATTAATTAACTCCACTGTAGGATAGTACTGTTCAAGACGAGCATTATCCTACAGCAGAGTAGTTATGTGCGGCAAAATGCATGCATAGATGGCAACCAGGGCTGGCTGGGACACGAGAGTGCTACGGCGCGGGGGCTGCCTGCTGGTTGGCCTCACGTTGCAGCACCCTTGTGCCCCAGCCAGCCCCTCAGCTGCACATTGAACCAGTTCAGAGCAGCCCTGAGCTGGAAGGCTGACCTGAATGGCCCTCTGCTAGCACAAATTCTCACACCCCAGAGTTGTTTGCATACAGATACCCAACTTTAGAACAACCGAGTTTTCTTGCTGTCTCTCCTCCTATTGCACAGCCATCGTGAACTTCATGGGTGTTCGTACACGCCACATTTTTTGCCCTTTCGTGTGCTGCAATGGCATGACTGTTTGCACGAGCAGGATTTCCGGGTGCTTTAAAAGTCTCATGCCCTAAGCATCCTGGGCAGCATCTGCCCATGCACTGCTGTGGAGCTTTTTTTACTCCACATCAGGATAATACTTGCACTATCCTTCTGTGGAGTAAACTAGTTTACTCAAGCCTAATAGCCGCACACCTGTAGGTGCAAGACATTTGCTGCACAACTAATTAGTCGACTGCACAATAAACATCTCATGTAGACGCGCTTCACCTGTGCCTGGGACAGCAGCAATTTGAGCCAGGGTGGAGCAGTTACGGCCTGGCAGGAGGCCTGGGGGGATCATCCCTGGGCTCTGGATGATAGCATTAGGTAGCAAAGAGGCTGGCTGGGGTATGAGGGTGCTGAAAGTGCGGAGCCGGGTGGCAGCCAGGAGCATGGCCTCCTGCTGCCTGGGAGCAGTTTGTGCCGAGGTCAGTGTCTATACGTGTCCTTAATGACAGTGAATGCCCCTTGCATAAGACAGTACTGTCCCCGCAGTGCTATCTTACTGCAGCATAAATTAGTTTACTGCAGCCTAATACAGTTGCACATGTCGACAGTGATGCTTTACTCCGCAGTAAAGCACATGAGCAGACACAGCCAGCTAGTACTTTTCTCCCTCCTGGAGAAGTAACTCTTTGGAGAGTATCCAGGCATGTGTAGTAGGAACTATACTTTCAACCTGCATCTCCAGAGTTGCAGCCTTGTATCATGGTCACAAGCCCACCCAGCCCTCAGACTGGCGCTGAGCCCCTCCTTTGTAACAGGACAGGGCTCTTAACAGACGTTTTTCTTCCCCAGAGACTGAATGAGAAACTTGCTTCTGCAAAGCAGCAGATTGTGGAGGAAGCTCATAGCTCCGGTATTCTGAAAACAGCCGATGGCCAGCGCCTGCCCTTCGGTGACCTGCCAAGCACTGGGCTGATCGACAAGCCCTGCATGTGGCGGTTTGAGCAGAGGATGACCATTCAACACCTGACTCACGTGATTCAACAGGAAAGTGAAACAAGTCAGTTCCCTGTGCTCCTGCAGATCCTGTCCAAGGTTCGTGGGGATTTGATTGAATAGACATGCGTAGACACCACACGCATTTTCACACCACTCGCACGTACCTTTGGATACACTACACACACCAATGTATTCATTATATTTTTTTTCTCTGTTCACGGTCAGTGCAATTCTCTACGCAGGTATGTGATATATTGTAGTGCTGT